GTGGCGACGGAGTGTGCTGCTGGCCCTGGCCACCGCCAGTGCCCCCACGACCACCACCGCTGCTACCACCTCCTCGACCACCCCAACCCCGGCCGCTGCCTCGTCCACCGCCACCCCCACCACCTCCTCCGCCCCGGCCACCTCCCCCGCCGCTGCCGCCACCCCCCCCCACTGCTGCCACCTCCCCCACCTGCGCCACCCCCCTCGCCACCACCACCTCCCCCACCACCGCCACCCCCGCTGTCACCACCACCGCCCTTGCCCCCCTTGCCCTTGCTGCTGCGGCGCCCACTCGAAGCAGACGCAGTCCCGACCTTCTCAGCACCAAGGAGGTCGACAGCAGCAGCAGAGGCGACAGAGGGAAGAAGGGGGGAGGGAGAACACCCCTCAAAGAACGGGGTACGGGGGTCACCGCGAGAGGCACCTACAGCGACTATGCTAGCCTCAGCTGCAAGGAGTTCCTTCTCGAGGAGGGCAATGGTGAGCTCGGTGGGGCAGCGAGCTAGGAAGTGGTCCCTGACTGAGCGCAGAGTGTCAGGGAGGCGCGTGACTAGGTGGTAGAGAGTGAGCCAGAGCGGGGATGGGTTCTTGGCAAGGAACTCATCAGGCATAGCGGCGCGGAAGCGAGCCTCACTAGTGCGGAGGTGGGTAATGAGATCAGCGACAGTGTGGAAGGAAGCTAAGTCGGGGAACAGGTAGGGAAGAGAGAGACGGCCTAGAGCGGCAGAGGCTGGTGAGGAGTAGCGGGCAACGACAGCAGTGTACAGTGTCTGTGCAGTCTTGTGCTGCCCAAAGTGCTCGCGCTCATCTATCGGCAGAGAGTTGCGAATAGCGAAGCGAGTATGGGCGTCACGAGTCTGCCACTGTGAGCGGGCAGTGCTGTCAGCAGTAGTAGCAGGAGCAGTAGCGTGGCCTAAGGCGTGATCGTACAGCGAGATGTCTTCCTTGGCAGTGAGCTGTAGGAAGAGGTGTAGGTCATCAAGCCAGGTGTCGAACTTCACTGGGCGGCCCTCAGCATCGAAGGCTAGCACAGGAGGGCTAGCCATGGTAGCAGCAGTAGGAAAAGCAGTAGGAGCAGTAGGGTAGGTAGGGCGGCGCGGCTCGGTACAGGTAGGGCGGCGCGGCTCGGTATAGGTAGGGCGGCGCGGCTCGGGTCGGGCGGCGCGGCCCGGTTCGGGCGGCTCGGGTCAGGCGGCGCGGCTCGGTTCAGGCGGCTCGGTTCGGGCGGCTCGGTTCGGTTAGGGCTGGCGGCTCGGGTCGGGTGGCTCGGTTCCGTTAGGGCTGGGCGGCTCGGTTCGGCTCGGTTCGGGCTGCTCGGTTTGGGCGGCTCGTTCTAGGTGGGGCCGTTCGGGGCCGCTAAGGGCGAGCGCAGGGAGCGGGTGGGGCCGTGAGGGACGAGCGCAGGGCCGACGTGGGCGCTAAGGGCGAGCGCGGGGCCTATCGGGGCCGTGAGGGACGAGCGCGGGGCCGATCGGGGCCGTAAGGGACGAGCACGGGGCCGACGTGGGCCTTTAAGGGCGAGCGCGGGGCCTATCGGGGCCGTGAGGGACGAGCGCGGGGCCGATCGGGGCCGGAAGGGACGAGCGCGGGGCCAACGCGGGCCTCTAGGGGTAAGCGCGGGGCCGATTCGGGGCCGTTAAGGACGAGCGCGGGGCCGACGCGGGCCTCTAGGGGTAAGCGTGGGGCCAATTCGGGGCCTCTAAAAGCGAGCGCGGGGCCAACCGAGGTTTCTAGGTGCGAGAGCGCGGGGCCGACGGGGCCTCTAGGGGCGTGAAAGCCGAGGCGCCCTAGGGCGTAGGTAGGTAGGTAGTGGTGGGCCCTAAAAAAAAATCGGTCCTAGGAAGGACCTGCTCTATACCATGTTGAACAAGAATGAATGAACTAACAGTGAAATGAGTACAAGTATGAAAACCTAGAAATGTGTACCCCCTATAGGCTAACCCACTGTAGCCTAAACAACTACAACAACATATATAATGTTTGACAAGGCGATCACCTGATTGCATGTGATCGGGGCCCATAGCGACGCTTGCGACTAGTTACACTGTTAAAATTACAGTGAAACGAGAACTTTCGCCAGGTGACATCTGGTCGCCAATCTCGTTAGAACAGGGGCGAAAATGCGACGTAAATGCATATCGCTTGCTTCGCAGGCGCTGGGGAACTTCTACGAAAAACAAATCTGATCGGGCGGCTCGGGCTTTGTGATCACAAGCAACCCGATCAGATCCGACCCGATCAGATCAATCGCGATCAGACTCGATTGGGCCCACACCCTAACAGTCAGCCATCACCAAGGGTTCTCTCATTTGCTCAGCTTGCTTGGACGGATCAGTAGGACACACATTTCCCAGTTGTTCAGTCACCAGCTGTGTCTAATAGTGAACGACCAACGTTCCGTATTCTCCCGGATAAAACACCCTAGGGTATTATGAAAACCATTGGGAAAAAATGGGGGGGGTCTCCTCAAAGGAAAATCTTACATAATACCCGGGTCTTATTATATGGTATATTTTTTTATCAAGTAGAAAAGATGTGAAACAAAATCAGGTGTCTGACTTCACTTCAAGATTGTTGACCAGTGCCGCAAAACCGAGTATACGAGGATAACGTGACCGCCCACTGGAATCTGCCACGTGGCATATTCGAGTGGGCAATTTTGGCACTTGATAGGGTGAAAACAAAGCCAATTGCGTGGCGAGGGTTCATGCAACCGCCGGCCAGAATCGCGCACGGTGGTGCGTTCTTACTGTACCAGTCACTTCTTGACTGGTTTGGTCACGTGTAAGTGAGGTGCGTTGGATGGGGTATGAAAATGATGTGGCACGATCTAGGCTGTTAAATTTCTGGTCTGTAATCAGCAGAGAGATCCGCATTGGCGCGCTAAAGCCTTGCTCCAGCATTCCACGAATATGGGAGTGGGATGGGGACCTTTGGATACCATTTGCTCAAAAGTTTACCCTAAACCGTTCTGTACCGTAACGAAACCCCTGATTCCCGATTTCGTGTCGGTGCGTTGCCAGCACATGGGGCCACTTGCAGCGGAAGATTCGCCAGCGTGGCGACAGCGAGATTGTGGGAGGGGGGAAATCTTGGCAGATTTTAAGTGAAAGTACACGCGAAATTTCACCTAGTGAGCAATTCTCGCGATATCCTCCCGTAAGGAATCGGACTCGATAACAGCTATAATAGGGATCTATAAGAAAAGGGGGGTGTTATAGAAAATCACCCCAAAAGGGGGGGTATAGTACAAACTGGGTCGGATATAACACCCACCCCGTATTAGCTACCCGGGGGTGTACAATTACGGGGGGGTGTTTTATCCGGGAGAATACGGTTCCTTGTTGCGCTCCCACGATCTCTCGCAGTTAATACATTTTTTAGCTTCCAGCAGCTAGATTTAGCATCGTCAATAATCGCAAAACAGTGGAAGACGGCGGCATTGCGGCGGTTACCGCCGAGATTCGGCTTCCGCCCCAGCGGAACGGGGAGCTTGTCTTCCAATGTAACTTTCCCTAACTACCGAGCTAACAACCATCGATCTCTCTCTAAGTCAATTGTTGAGAACTTCTCTCGACAAAGGAAGAGTTGGAGAAGATGGTTGAGTTGGTTGGGATGAAACTTGGTTTGGGTTTGCCAAGCCTCAACTTTGGAGGTTTGGAACATTTCCAACTCAGCCAAGAGAATGTTGAAGGTTGGAATCCCAACCAATCAGAAACTGCCAAACAAGTGTTATAATCTACTCTATCCTAAACACAACCATTGAATGGTTCTAAGTTGGATTTTCCAACCCAACACAATTGCCACATAGGCTCCAAGCCTAGGAACCATCCCACCATGGAAACCATGGTTGGGATAGTTCCCCAAGGGGTGTATTGAGGGGGTCTGAGCTAAGCAAGCTAATTTTCTCAACCTCCCACTCCAACTAAACAATTGGAAATGGGATTGTTTTGCCTAAGTCCTTGAGAGCTCTCTCACAAGCCTTCCTACACAATTCTCTCAAGCCTTTTCAACAACTCCTTCAAGAAGATTGACACCTCCAAGGCTATTGGGAGCTAGTTAGAGCTTCAACTTGTATTGAGATTTATTATAAAAGCATTGTAACTCCATTATAATAGCCTTGGGTGTTACATTGGTATCTAGAGCAAGGTTCTTCCTTGGCCTTGTGTGGCCATTTGCTACTTGGATATATATATATATATACATATATTTTAGAGGATCCTAGCTTGTGGATCTAGGATTTCATCCAAGGAGCTATCAAGATCTTGAAGATATTGAAGAAATTTCAAGATCTACAAAACCATCTTCAAGATCTACATCTTCAACTTCAATTTCTTCAAACCACCATTGGAGCTACAAGATCTACAAAAAGCTCCCCTTCTTCATCAACACTGTGAAGAGATTCATTTCTCTTACCCACCTTTGGTGGAAGACTCAAATCTACCTTTAGTAGAAGAGTGTATCTTCAGATCTACAAGGACTTGTTGAGGATTACTCTTTTTGTCAGAATCCCAGCCACTAGACCACTGGGATAAAAGGGCTTGTTTAAGTAGTGGGTCAGTGCGCCCATAACCCCCCAGGCCAACGTGCCTGTAACCCTTCCCTAGGATCAATCAGGGATCACCAGTGGACCTCTGACACCCCCCCGCACTGGGATGCCCGAAGTGCATACACCGGGATTCGAACCCGAGACCTTCGCTCTGATACCATGTCAGAATCCCAGCCACCACTGGGATAAAAGGGCTTGTTTAAGTAGCGGGTCAGTGCGCCCATAACCCCCCAGGCCAACGTGTCTGTAACCCTTCCCTAGGATCAATCGGGGATCACCAGTGGACCTCTGACACTTTTGAGTATATCTTGCTCTATCATTGAGGTGATAGAGAGATTTAGCAAACAAGTCAATCTTATGAGATTCTGTATTGGATTATTCTATAAGGATAATCAGATTTCGTTAAGATTATTATAAGACCTGTTGAGATCTCCTCTTTTTAACCTGTTTCATGGCTTCTAGTCAAGAGATGGATGCTACTAAGGAGGTGCCCGTTGCTGGCAATGAGGGAGATAATGCTGTTGCTGCTGCTGACATAGATCTCAACCTTGAGGACTTTGTGGTTGACATGGAGATTAATGGAAGTGAAGCTGACCTTGAGGCTGATGCTGAAAATGAGGATGAGGCTGGCTCTGATGAGGGTGTTTCCAATGAGACTGAGAACATTGCTGTCAAGCTCCAGACTCAACTCACGGAGCAGAATATTCTCGTTGGAGTGCAACAGTGCCGCATCCAGAACTTGGAGGCTGATTCTCTTAAGCTTCAGGCCTTGATTGAGCAGCTGACCAGGGAGGTGCAGTCGATCCCTAAGGAGAGCTACACCTCCAGCTTCATTCAGGACCTGCAGACTACTCTCCAGTTCGTGCAGGATCAGCTCAAGAAGCAAGAGAAACACATCTCTGTGCTTCAGGCCCAGTACAGGGAGATCCGGCGTGGAAACCTCTACCAGCCTGCTCCTGCAGCAGAGCGAGTTGCCAACGCCGCTAATAGCCGGGCTGCACCTGTTGATGCTCCTTCTACTGTTCCCCCTCCTACTGGAGCACGTGTTGAGCCTCCTACTGCAGCAGCAACTGCTTTTGGCTCCTGCCCTTCGGCCCTGCCTCGTTTTGTCCATGGCAAAACTGACGTTGAGACTTGGCTCTCCATTGCGGAGGACTTTATGTCCATCCACAATGTGCGTAGCGAGGCTCGTGTGGTCGCTGCGACCCTTGCCCTGGACGATAATGCGAGCAAGTTGGTGTATGCCAACAAGCGCCACGCAGAGGCTAACGGCCATCCTTTTGGCTGGTAGGAGTTCAAAGCTGCCATGCAGGCGGCATTTCTAAGTCAGCCCCCGGCGCTCGAGGTGCGTAGCCGCCTGGAGAACATCCAGTGCGGTGACCAGCCTGTACGCGAGTACGCCAAAGAGTTTGAGAAAACTCTGTCGCTGCTGAAGACTGCTCTTCCTGAGAGCGAGGTCATCCACCAGTTCTTCAAGGGACTCCCTGAGCACATCAAGGTTGTGCATGTTGTGCGTGGGGAGCACCAGTGGAGGACCTACAAGGAGTGCAAGGAGCAGGTCATTGACACGGATGTGAATTTCCGTGCGTACATGACTCGCGCTCGTGCTCAGCGGCAGCCTAGTGCCGAAGGCCCTAGGGGGGGTGGTAACAGGACTCAGGCACACAGGGGCAGTGGCTCTTGGAAGAGGCCCTATTAGCAGAAGGGGGAATCCTCAGGGACTCAGTCCAAGAGGGCCCATGCTGGGCTTCCCAAGGATCCTCAGGATGAGGATAAGCCCCCGGCGGGCTGCCGCATCTGTGGCAAGCTCGAGCACAAGTCCTATCACTGCCATTGGAGGAAGTCCGTCAAGAACTCCGGCAAGCCCAACCAGGGCAAGAAGCCGGATGGTTCGGGCCCTTCGGGCCCGAAGGATTTCCCGAAGTCCAACTAGGGGGTGGGTACCTAGTTGGTGAGCGAGATCGAGTAGATGAGGCTTATGTCCTTCGTGATGAGGATTTGCTAATGCTAGAGAAGCTTGTGTCAGGCATATATGCTATAGTCTGTGTAGGCTGTAGTGGGGCAGTTCATATGGGGTACAACACTTTAGGGTTTGCTACTTGTACTCCCCTTTCTGCTTAATGCATTCATTCTCGTTTCTCATCATGGTATCGAGAAGGATCCCTAGTGGGAACGCTACCTAGGGCCCACCACGATACTTTTTTTTCTGCCCGGAGCCCACTTCACTCCTGCCCGAGTCGCGCTCTGTGTGCCCTCCCTACTTTCAAGCCGCCCTTAGTGGCCCCTCTCACGGCCCCTTTAGCCGCCCTTACGGCCACTCGCGCCGCCCCTTGCGGCCCCGCTACGGCCCCGTCTAGGCCCCTTACGGCCCCTCTGCGGCCCCGTCTAGGCCCTTTGCGGCCCCGCTACGGCCCCGTCTAGGCCCCTACGGCCCCTCCGCGGCCCCGTCTAGGCCCTTTACGGCCCCGTCGCTGCCACGTGTGGCCCCGCCGCCACCACCAGCGGCCCCGTCGCCACCACATGCGGCCCCGTCGCCGCCACCTGCGGCCACGCAGCCGCCACCTGCGGCCTCGCCGCCACCTACGGCCCCGTCGCCGTCACCTGCGGCCCCGTCGCCCTCCCCTAGCGGCCCTGTCACCGCTCAGCCGCCCAGCGACCAAGCCGCCGAGCAGCCCAGCAGCCGAGCCGCCCTGCCGCCGAGCCACCCAGCAGCCGAGCCGCCCTGCCGCCGAGCCGCCCAGCAGCCGAGCCGCCCAGCAGCCGAGCCGCCCTGCCGCTGAGCCGGCCTGCAGCCGAGCCGCCCAGCAGCCGAGCCGCCCTGCCGCCGAGCCGCCAAGCCGCCGAGCCGCCCTACTGCCGAGCCGCTGCTGTTCCTACCAGTGCTTCCCGGCCCTCCTTCCTCGGACTGGTGAGCTCACTTCCTGCTAGGCCACTGCAGTCATGGCTACCCCCAGTGTCCTTACTTTTGATGCTGAGGGCCGTGCCGTTGACTTTGAGGTCTTGGTCGATGACCTCCAGCTGTTTCTCCAGTGCGATAGGGCAGACGGACTCTCTCTGTTTGATCTCACCTCTGGTGTCTCTTCTGCCCCGACTGCCACTGCTGACAGCACTGTTCGCTCACAGTGGGCCATACGCGATGCTGCTGCTTGCCTTGCTGTGCGTCGCCACTTACCGACCACTGAGCGTGCACACTTTAGCCAGTACAAGAGTGCTCAGACCTTGTACGACGCTGTAGTTGGACGCTACTCTTCCCCTGCCACTGCTGCACTGAGCCGCCTCATGCTACTGTACCTCTTCCTTGACCTTGCTGCCTTTCCCACAGTCGCTGACCTTATTACGCACCTCCGCACTAGTGACACTCGCTACCGCGCTGCGCTTCCTGCTGATTTCTGCGCCAAGAACCCCCCCCCCCCCCCCATGTACATCACCTTCTACTACATAGTCACCCGGCTCCCTGACTCTCTTCGCGTAGTCAGGGACTAAGGAGATTAACTCTACAATGGTAGTGAGCTAGACTACACGGTTGGCACGAATTACTAAAGGTGATCGTAGCTTTGCTTGGTTCCTTAGTGCTTGCGCATTCACGGGAGAAATTAGCAAGAGTTTTCACTAGCAAAGTTGGAATTCAGAATAATTCAAGAAGCAATCACAACAATGACTACATCAGGCACCTAGCAACCCTGCAGCTAGCCTGGTCGACCGCCAGCGCAGCTCGGTTGACCGCCTGCCAGCATTGCGTAGAGGAGCCGCGCCAGCACTGCAGAAGGGCGACCTGCCAACAAAGCAGGTCGACGGCGTGCCCCGTAGAACACAGCAGTGCGCGCGCTCGCAGGTGTGCGCAGACGATTGGCCCGACTTGCCTCGTTGGGCATCCGTCGGCTGTTGTCTGCACTGTCTGCGCCTGATGAGCCACATCGACTTCATGATACTAGCCCGAAGTTGCCTGCGCCATCGCGATCTCGACGACGTTCGCGAGCCTCCGTAGAACTCATCGAGCAGGTTACCCGCTCGACCTGGTCGACCCCTGGTGCTCTGGTCGACCCCCAGGTGCGTCCGGTTGACCACTGGGTCCCTCTGGTCGACCACCAGGCGCTCCTGGTCGACCACAACTCCCGTCGAGCTACCCCCTGGTCGACGGACCCCTTCCGTCGACCAGAACTGCTCTCTCGACCTCCCGGTCGAACTGTAGGTCGACGGACTGCTTCGTCGACCTCCCGGACGGCCCACCCGTTGCACAGACCAGTCAGTTGCAGCCGTCAAGCTCCTTGGTCGACAGCAACACCACTGCGGTCCGCTGCAGCTCGACGTAACCTGTCGAGCAGCTATCCCACTGTGAACGGTCGGCTGCTACTCCCGTGCATCCGACCAAGTCGTCGGCGTTGCCCAAACGAGGGCGGGGCCAACACTCCATTCCTGTTAACACTCCCCTGCCGCGCTCACGCTTGGGCCTCCAGCCCACAAGGCAGTACTCCACAGAGGAAACTCGTCCTCGGCGTGCACCACACACACAGCACGCCGTCACCGCACCAGCCGTGCAGAAGGGCACGGCACCTACTGCTGCACCTCGTCGTCGCCGTCGCCGACGTCGACCAGACGAACTTGGTCGATGGCGACAGAGCACCGGTTGAAAGCCGGAAAATGCAGCGCCTTCGTCAGGAAGTCCGCCGGCTGCTCGGTGGTCGGGATGTAGTTTAGCACAAATTTCCCGTGCCTCACCATGTGCTGCAGCTAGGCGTAGCGTTGCTCCATGTGCTTGAGGTTGCCCACTAGCCCCAAGCCCTCAGCGACCGTGATTGCCGACTTGTTGTCGACGCGGAGGATGGTCGGCTTCCCAGCGTCGAGCAGCTTGAATTCCGCAAGGAGGAAGCGAAGTGGACGCCCCTCCTTGCCGGCGTCCGTTGCCGCCACGTACTCCGACTCGGTCGATGACAATGTCGCGCACTTGATGCGCGAGCTCGACCATGAGACGGCGGCCCCTCCGTAGACGAACACATAGCCTCCCGTGCTCGTCTGGTTCTGCTTGTTGCCCGTGTCGTCGGCATCGACGTAGCCGATCAGCTCCAACAATTCTGGTCGACCGCCAAACTCCAGAGCAGTGTCGCGGGCGTCGGCGAGGTAGGCAAGGCAGCGGTCGGCCTCGCGCCAATGCTGGTCGCTCCTCACCGTGAGGCCGCTCCCCAGCTTACTGCAAGTGAACGCGATGTCCGGCCTAGTCGTAGTCGCCGCGAACTGCAGCGAGCCGACCTTCTGCCAGTACTCCTCCTCCTCGCGCTCTTGAGCCTCCTCGTCGTCGAACGTTAGCTGAGCGTAGGCGTCAACCGAGACTGGCGTCTTCGGGACTCAACCGCCCTGCTCCTCGTCGATGAAGCGCCTGCGCAGCTTGTCGGCGTAGCCCTGCTGGTGCCGCCACAGCTTCCTGGTCGGCCTATCGCACAAGATCTCCAGCCCAAGTTACTTCACCACTGGCGAAATCTCACGTAGCTCGAAGGCGGCCTCCAGCAGCTCCTTCAGCATCGCGGTGCTGCTGCTGGTGGCGAGCAGGTCGTCGACGTAGACCAGCACCCAGCAGGTTACTCCATCGTCGCCGGCCTTGAAGTAGAGCGCCTCGTCGACCTGGCTCTTCTTCCAGCCAGCACCCAGCAGCACACTGTCGAGAGCCCTGTACCACAGTAGCGGCGATTGCTTCAGCCCGTAGAGGCTCTTCAGCATCTTGCACACCCGGCCGGTCCCGTCGTCGAAGTAGTCCGGCTGGTACATGTAGAGCACCCTGTCGAGCTTGCTCTGCAGGAAAGCATTCTTCATGTCGAGCTGCATCAGGTTGAGGTCCAGAACGGCGACGATGCTGAGGAAGATTCTCAGCATGACGTAGCTGCTCACCGGCGAGTACGTCTCGTCGTAGTCGGCACCGTACACCTGCGTGAAGCCCTTCACGACCAGCCTCGCCTTCCGCTCGACGGTGTCGTCAATGCGGTACTTGGTCGTCAGCACCCACCGGTTCTTCATGATGTTCACCCCACGTGGGCGTTCGACCAGCTCCCAAGTCCCCATGCCGATGAGACTGCGGTCTTCTTCCATGGCGGCCTTCACCGCCTCGTCCTTCCAGCTCGACAGCGCCTCTTTCACCGTCATTGTGGCAATGTCCCAGCGGCGTTCAGGGTCGGCATGCACGTCAGGGTCGAGCTCCGGCAGGTCTTCATCCTCCTTGGCGTCGTCGTACAATGGGTCGTCGTCGACCTCGTCAAACACCGTGGTGAAGGCACCTGGCGGTAGGCAGGCGTGGAAGCTCAGCCG